AATATTATTTATGATTTTAACTTTATACACAAGTGCCAAAATACTATAATTTCATGTTATTTAGTATTAATATATATTTGTCAGTTTATTTGCTTGAGATTGTGTTGATCTGGTCAGTATTTAGAAATTCGGCATAGCATTTGATAGTTTTGTATGTTTCTGCAAGTTGATTTTTTTTCATCTGGAATGTCTGAGTGATTGTCTAGGTGAAACTATTGTATTTTTAGATATTGCTACAAAAGAATAGTATTTCAAAGACTGATACAATGAACCCACTGCAAACTTGTTTTGCTTAGGTTGGGATGTAGGGCTAGGTGACCGTCTGAATAATATCGACACCATGTATAAGAATCTGGGTATCAAAAACAACCGCTGGCAGGGTGACGGCGTTTCCAACTGTATCAACCCCCTAAGGGGCACCATTCGACTACGGTCAGCTGTGAACAACAGGAAGAGGGAAACAGGTTATGTGGATAAGGTATACAGATGGACAGTGGACCTGAGCACTAGCGTCAGAACTATGTTAAGGTATTACTTGCTGCAGACGATGATCAGTAGTTTCAGATTGTTATTTATTTTGGATTTCAACATTTTTTAGGTGTTTTTAATAGCCTTTAGTCTAAAAACGAGCTTTAGTCTCTTCGATTATAATTTTTTATCTTGAGTTAAAAGCTAAAAGGTTTATATTCTAGATGGCTTCTTCCATTACACGAGTGCGATTTTACGATAAATTGTAGAAATTATTTTTCGTTTCGAAAATAAATCCAAGTTCATTAATTAATTAAATACATCTCTTTTCTGTGCACTTTCGAGAAGATTCTAACTATTATTTATGTTTTTCTTTCAGCCATGATGTGGACGCTATCATGACTAATCATCCCGAACGAGTCAAAAATGTGTTGCAGGAATCGCAATTTAGAAGGCGTTTTAGAATGGCTCTGCAATCAGACAATCCATGGGAGAGAACGTCTGCAGAAAATACTTTTTTAATCTTTCGAGCACCACCACTATTTCGCTTCATGTCAGCAATGTTTGAATCAACTTCTTCACTAGTTGAATTTATAATAAACAGCATACAAGGACGAGCATTCGGTGGAATATTGGACAATGGCCTAACTTTTGTTCAAGTTTTTATGGACTTATTTCATAAAAACCTTTAAAGCAATAAAAAAGTTAGGTTACTAGTTATATGCAGAATCCTAATGCATTCTTAACTGTTAAGCCTTATCTCATCATGACTTGTGCATTGGCTACTTAGTTGAAATTATGCTACAGTTTTTGACATCTTCTAGGTAACTCATAACACTCTTCTCAATGAGAACGAGGCTATTCATTTTTAGCCATTAAATTCGCTTAAGTCTCAAAATTGACATTTAAACATCGCTATAAAAGTCACAGTTCACTATTAACGTTGTGTTTCTGTTTTACTTTGTACATAATCTGATGTTATTTATTGTGTTAAACATTTTGTGTACGTGTATGCATATTTAGTTTTAAAAGTGACAGATATCCTTTAAAGTGTGATTAGGACTTATAGTATTTATTTATGTACCGCGAAATACACTGTAATGATTTATCTGAACTTTCACCGCATGTATTATATTTAGCAAATATCCCAGTTTCATATTTTATCTAATGGTTCAAGTTTGTCTCCAAAATGTCTTTAAAGCTATTTATGTCTATATGTTAATACAAACTATCATATTTTGTTTCGTAATTATTATTATTTATTGCAAAATAAATCAAATTAAAACTTACAGTTAGCATAAGTAATGTAGAAATGTTTCCGCAGTAAACCATTTAATTCTAATATATATATATATATAAAGCCCAAAAACCTGTTTATCTGCTTACCTGTCCGTTATCTAACTACTCTTAGATCGCATGGCCAATCTCAACCAAACTTTGTGGGATGATAGTTTGGAACAAGGGGTATGTTAATAGTGGGGGTCACAACCCCTCCGGCCTTCAGTGGCACAGCGGCATGTTGCGGACTTACAACGCTAGAAACCGGGCTTCGATACACATGGTGGGCAGAGTACAGACAGCCCATTGTGTGGCTTTGTGCTTAACTTCAAACAACAACAACACAACCGCTCCAGCCAATTATTGATGTTATTGAGCATTTATTATCTTTGATGTAAGTTAAAGTTAACTACATTCATAGATAGCGCCACGTTCTTACACCAAACACAAACAAAAACTATTAAATTTTCCGTCCTCCGGTAGGACAGCGGTAAGTATTCAGATTTATTACGCTAAAATCAGGTCCTTTCGGTGGACACAGTTGGTAGCCCGATGTGGCCTTGCTATAAGAAAACACACACGCATATCAAATTTTTATAACGTACACGAACGTCTTATATATCTCGGAGAGTGCGGTAGCACTCTCTATGGAGAAATGTAATGAAAAAAAAATAGCTGCCACTATTGCAATAATACATAAACCCAGATGAAGTTGATACTACAACAGCCACCTTAAGGCTGATATGAAAAGCCGTTTCTTGAGTTATATCCACTTCCTACTTTGACCCCGTGACGTTACAAATTCATCCCGTAAGACACTTCTACGACCAATGACCATTAATTAATTAATAATGTGAAACAGTGTGGAAGGACATTGAGAGTTCGGTGTTTAAAGTGGGTGACAGAAAGCACCCCTACTGTCTCTATTTGGCCGCTACCTCTTCCTCACCCAAAGTTTTGTATAAGCTTTAAGAACTCACTATGTATTTACTTAAAACATGGTATGCACTGTGTGATGGTCAGGGTAACTTTATATGTAGTAATTAATACTGTAATAACATGCTATTTTATAAATAAATTGTGTGAAAGTTAGGATTTTTGCATTATTTATCAAATTAAAACTTACAGTTAGCGCTAATAAGTAGTGTAGAAATGTTTCCGCAGCAAACCATTTAATAAATAGAATTAAACTAATAATTATCATTTCTTGTTGTTTTTTCTTTTACGCACATTTTTTGCTGAATCTGAAGCTAAGACTATTACCACACAGGTATTGTATCTGTTTTGTTTTTCTTTTCTTTTTTAAGTTGTAAATAGCCTATTTCACATGGATGAACCTTTAAGCCCCCAGTGGCTCAGCGGTAAGGCTGAGTTGTTATAACGCTAAAAGTCGGGTTTTGATACTCGCGGTGGGCCAGTACAGATGTATGCTTAACAATAAACAAACAAACGAACTTCCAGAATACGGCTGTCATATCCGTAACACCATGCAGTGACTAACATAAAACAAAACAATTATTTACAATCTTGTGTGGACTGTTTTTTAAGGGGCTTCCCCTGCCTTTCGGTGTGGACTATTGTTTTAAAGAGTTTCCCCTGCCTTTCGGTTTTTAAATAACGTTTCTATGCTGAGTCCCTCATCAGGTTTGGAGTGAGTGAATCGAGATGATGATCAATAAAATACAGTCTACATATCTAATACATTGATTGAACCTACACTAAAAGAAAACTAAACATGTCAAATATGCTATGCTGTCTACACATACCTTGAAAGACACTATGTCATTGAATGCGCTGTCTAAACTCACTTTTAAAGAACATTTCCCAGGAGGAATACTCGGTCTAAACAAATCCTTGATAGAACACCAACCATATAGAACACGTGCTGTCTAAACCCACTTTGAAATAACACGTGATATAAAAACTGCATATTAAGTTTAAAAGAAGCAACTTTTTGTACTCACTCGGGGGGAAAACTTTAAGTTTTAGTGTTTATTGCCCGGCATGGCGAGGTGGTTAGTGTGCTCGACTCGCAATCTGAGGGTCGCGGGTTCGAATCCCCGTCCCACCAAACATGCTCGCCCTTTCAGCCGTGGGGGCGTTATAATGTGACGGTCAATACCACTATTCGTTGGTAAAAGAGTAGCCCAAGAGTTGGCGGTGAGTGGTGATGACTAGCTGCCTTCCCTCTAGTCTTAAACTGCTAAATTAGGGACGGCTAGCGCAGGTAACCCTCGTGTAGCTTTGCGCAAAGTTCAAAACAAATGTGTTTATTAAGTTACTATAATTCACTTGTCAGAAGATGAAAGTAATTTACAGAATATGAGGAACTGTTGATTAGCTTATCAAAGCTTTTGCATACGACCAATCCAACTATAACTCAGATCCACAGTCTGTCACGATAACCATTGGGCCATTCGGCCTAGCAAGGAGTAAAAAATGAATAAGAGGGAGATATGAAAGACTGAAATAATTCATTCCGAAACATTTGTTATCAAACGAAAATGGAAGCAGAGAAAATGTCGGTACTTAGGTGTGACTTAGCATGATAAAAAAATAGATTAAAAAAATAGATCATATTTACGTTGGATTTAGTACATAAAATCGACACTAAAGACGAAGATTAAACCAAGGTAATTATAAGCAACAACATGAAAAGATTTTTAAAAATCCGCATTAAACACACTGTTACCAAAGCCCGTAGAGGACATTGGTTTTTTATTTTGCTTTGTTGTTGTTTTTTATCCAACCTCTTTTTTTAACTATAATTTTGATTTCCTGAATTTAAAAGTTATTTTGATAATTTAATTTTTCATTTCTCAATTTTATTTGGATTTTGGTTCTATTAATAACACAAAGTATAAAACAAAAGGAACAATTATATTCCATAGTGGTTGGCAAGATTTTGCTCCAATAATACAAGTGCGGTATAAAGAAAACAATTAGATTCTATGGGAATGCAACACTTTTGCTATAATATTTACATTACCGGGTACAAATAGATTGCAAACTTTTAGCTCTGTTAATAATAAAAGTTACAACACCATACAAACAGTTAGGTTCCAGAAAACCTTCGATACGTCGTCCTCAATACTTGTATTTCTACAACTGGTAGTTGCCGTCCATTCAACCAAATTTCATCCTGCTTCCTCTTTTCCCCACACTTCAAGCACTGTATACAGTCAATAACCACATCTCGGTAAACGATTGACCGAGCATAACTTTCGGAATAGTTGAATAAAATTATAAGTGTGAACGGTTAAATGCCCAGGCTTGTGTTGCAGTATATGTCTCCAAGATGAAGAAATTTATTTATATTCTAGTGATCATGCTAATTATGTAAGTTATACTAAGTCAACAACCACACTGTAGAAAACAATTGACTCAGTATAACTTATGTTAAAATTGAATAAAATGATAAGTTTGAAATGTTGGATGCTTAGATTTGCATTATATTATGCAAAGCAATGATGAAGAAAATTACGTATAATACGTAGCTGTAAATACAAATACATTAAAAGTTAAATTATAAATTGTTGTTGTTTTTTTTTAATCTAAGACTAGTGTCCGGCCCCTGAGCCGACACTCAAAATACTTTGTGACCTGCCACTAACCCAAAGTTGGTTAATCCTGTTCTGGGTAAAACGTTTCACCCAGAAGGCATAAATCGAAAGATTAGTAAACAGTTTACTGGAAACTAAATCGTTCTCATTTGTTGAATGAATTATTTACGTCTTAACTTCAGTGTTCACTGTGTTATCTAAAAATTAATGTTAGTGTTGCAGGCCAACTCTTCTGAGTTAATTTGTGCCATTTACTTGAGAGGCGGCACCAAGCGGATTAATTTACTCAATCTGTCATCATCGGCATGGATTCAAGCAGCTCAAGTTAGAGTCAAAATGGTTTTTCAGTTATACAGATATCTAAAAAGTTTTGTCGTAATTTTCCTTGTTGTAAAAACTGAACGTTTGTTTATAGGTAAGTGAGTAACATTAGTTAAATTTACTTATATAATACAAATAGATAATTCGATTAATTTTATTTCAAAACAGAAACAATTGGAATCTTTACATTTGATAAGCTAATTCAAGGATGACCAGGCGTGTAGTATAACCTTCACTTCAGTTAGTTATTCTTGGAAGCTCATAAGGTGTGTTTTTGCTTTCATTTCACCAGCAGGCTTATAACGTTAAGAAAATTGAAGCGGGAAGAAATAATTCGGCAGATCACTTCGAACTTTTGAACGTTACTAGCTGTACGAACCTTTTTTGGTGAAAGAGAACTTATCGGTCGTGTTCTTAACTTGTAATAAAAATTAAAACATTAAACACATTCTCCAGTGGCACAGAGGTATGTCTGCGGACTTATAACGCTAGAATCCGGGTTTCGATACCCGTG